GTTCTTCAGTCAGTTCCAAAATGGCCGCCACCTCCTGGTGACGGGACTGACGGGGACCAATGTCATGGACGTTCAGCTGCTTCTAGTGCGGAGACAATCAGTGTATAAGAATGTCACAGGCTCCTCCCCCTTCAATCCATCATGAATGCTGCTAGACTCGTCCACCTATCTAACCGCTCAGTATCAGCAACCTCCCTCTACCGATCCCTCCACTGGGCTCCACCCCCCTCTACCAATTCCTCCACTGGGCTGCACCCCCCGCCCCCCTCTGCCAATCCCTCCATTATGTCCAGTACACAGAACCACCCATAGGGGGCGATACACACACATGAATGTCCAGTACACAGAACCACCCATAGGGGGCGATACACACACATGAATGTCCAGTACACAGAACCACCCATAGGGGGCGATACACACACATGAATGTCCAGTACACAGAACCACCCATAGGGGGCGATACACACACATGAATGTCCAGTACACAGAACCACCCATAGGGGGCGATACACACACATGAATGTCCAGTACACAGAACCACCCATAGGGGGCGATACACACACATGAATGTCCAGTACACAGAACCACCCATAGGGGGCGATACACACACATGAATGTCCAGTACACAGAACCACCCATAGGGGGCGATACACACACATGAATGTCCAGTACACAGAACCACCCATAGGGGGCGATACACACACATGAATGTCCAGTACACAGAACCACCCATAGGGGGCGATACACACACATGAATGTCCAGTACACAGAACCACCCATAGGGGGCGATACACACACATGAATGTCCAGTACACAGAACCACCCATAGGGGGCGATACACACACATGAATGTCCAGTACACAGAACCACCCATAGGGGGCGATACACACACATGAATGTCCAGTACACAGAACCACCCATAGGGGGCGATACACACACATGAATGTCCAGTACACAGAACCACCCATAGGGGGCGATACACACACATGAATGTCCAGTACACAGAACCACCCATAGGGGGCGATACACACACATGAATGTCCAGTACACAGAACCACCCATAGGGGGCGATACACACACATGAATGTCCAGTACACAGAACCACCCATAGGGGGCGATACACACACATGAATGTCCAGTACACAGAACCACCCATAGGGGGCGATACACACACATGAATGTCCAGTACACAGAACCACCCATAGGGGGCGATACACACACATGAATGTCCAGTACACAGAACCACCCATAGGGGGCGATACACACACATGAATGTCCAGTACACAGAACCACCCATAGGGGGCGATACACACACATGAATGTCCAGTACACAGAACCACCCATAGGGGGCGATACACACACATGAATGTCCAGTACACAGAACCACCCATAGGGGGCGATACCCACACATGTAAAATAAATATTACGTCCTGATAAAGAGAAATGAAAGGGATATTATTTGTATCTGTGTGAAATTCTTCCGAATAAAACGCGCTGATCCATTAATGATGTTTCTTCTCTATCTGGGTCAGACGGTCCCGGGTGCTGGCTGTGATATCTGGAATGGTGGGGGGGGCTCCTTGCAGGTTCCTATGGCGCCACCCTTGTGTGTGCGTGCCCCTGGCCAGCTGTGTGGGTCAATTCAAAGACACACCCACCACAAGCCACTCCCCCTTTCACTCCTCCCTTCTCAGCCTCTTCTCCAGCTGTGTTAGGGCGCCTTCACATCTAATACAGATAGTATGTTATGATGACATCACGGGTCCACCAGAGCCCGGGGGAGAAGAGGCTGCAGGGACTGGTCTAGCAGCAAGGCAGGATTGCGGTTTGGGCGAATATATCTGTTATGTGCACACCCCTAGACAAAATGAGCACTTACCCCTTGTGGGGGGGGTAGCCCCACTGCAAGGGGTAACTTTCCAAAATTCTGGGTAATGTCTCCAGTGCTCCATGTTTTAACCCCTTCAATACCTGCACGGTTTTTTTTTCCATTTCCAAAAAATGGTGGCACCTCGGGGGGGGGGTGTCCACATTTCATTTT